GGGGACTTGTGACTTCCAGTAAAGGAATCCAAGGCTGTGGTCTTGAGAAACTCACTTTTTCACGAGGCCTATCTGGGAAAAAGAGATGAAACCATAAAAGCGTTTTATAATTGTGCTTTCAAAAACACAGATCTTTTCTCTGTTGGCAGTTAGTGTTCACAGTATCTTGAGATCCTTTATGTCCTGACAGGCTTCACTCCTCCCTGCCTTCAGTGAGGGGGACAGGAGGAACAATCACTTAGAAACCAAAAGTTAAGGGGCGCCTGGGTGGCTCAGTGGGTTAAAGCCTCTGCCTTCGGCTCAGGTCATGATCCCAGGGTCCTGGGATCGAGCCCCACATCGGGCTCTCTGCTCAGCCGGGAGCCTGCTTCCTCCTCTCTCTCTGCCTGCCTCTCTGTCTACTTGTGATCTCTGTCTGTCAAATAAATAAAATCTTAAAAAAAAAAAAAAAGAAAGAAACCAAAAGTTAAAATCTTACCAAGTTGACTTACTTGAGACATCTAATTGTGAAGTGCTGAGGGGCACAGTTGAACCCCTAAAATCCACCCAAGTTTTGCTACTTTGCCCTCAATTTCCGGCTTCTGTAATGTGGGCTGGGTCGGTCAGTGTGTCTTCTCTGTTGCTATATTCCAGCTAGGTAAGGTGTGTGGGGTCCAAACTGATGTCATTCTAGACAGAGTCCATGTACATCCCTACAGTCAGAACATTCTGGAATTTACCCTTCAATACTGTTTTCCTGAGCCCCACACTCACTCAATAGGCACGAAATCATTCTGTGAACCTACTCTGCTGTGTGCCAACAAGGGCATACCAATAATTTCCACCCTCTCCTCACCCACAAGAAGCTCATAGAAGGGCAGGATCCAGCTCAGAAAGGACAATACCCCCTTGTTTTTGATGGATATGCAGGTGCAAGCACTCCTTATTGGCCTCATCTGGCTTCCAGTAACCACGTTGTCAGCAGAAATAATATCCATCTTCAGAATGAAGACTGGCCACTTTGTTCAAACCATTCCTGAGTCTGGCTTCTTTCACTAACAGAACCCACTATGCCTGTCAGTTAGGGGCAGCTAGACCCTGCTTCTGTCCTCATCACCCCCAACACAGTGGCTAATTCATAATAGTCACAGCTAGTTTGCTGAGCCAGCTGTCATAAGCCCTTTATGGCAATTTCCAAAGGGGAAATTCCAGAAAGGTCTTGTGCTGTGGCAGTACCGAAGGACGAGTGGGGGGCTCCTTGGATCTCAGATTTGGGGGAACCCATGGTCATTTGAATGTTGACGTTCTGGTGTGTCTGTCTCACAAGCTCCTTTTGTACTTCCCATGTGCAGGTAAGGTAGGATCTTGATTTCTCTGGGAACCTGGCTTGGCTTGTTTTGGGGTATGTGATGGAGCTGGTTCGAGCTGTGTGAGAGAAGGTGAAGCCTAAACCAGACAAGCCAGGGCTGGTTAGCAACTTTCCACTGTGTCAGGAACCCCAGAGAGAGGCTTCCCAAGTTCTACCCAGTGTTGCCTTTTTTGTTTTTAAGTCCGTAGAATTTTTTTTTTATTGAGCTGTAATTTACATACAGTGAAATTTACCTTTTTTAGTGTACAGCTCTGAATATATACAGTTGTGTAACTAACATAACAGTCCAGATACAGAACATTTCCATCATCCACCCCCCGCCAAATTCCCCTGTCTCCCTTTGTAGCACATCCCAGCCCCTTGCAACCAGTGATCTGCTTTCTGCCCTAACACTTTTACCTTTTCCAGAATGCCTTATAAAATGGAATCACAACAGTACGACTCAGACAGCCTTTTGAGTCTGGCTCCTTTCACTAACATAATGCATTTGAGGTTCGTCTGCATTGTTTTCTGTACCAGTAACTCGGTCCTTTCTTATGACTGAATACTATTTCATCATGTGGCTAGGCCACAGTTTGATTATCCCCCACTGAAGCACATTTAGGTTTTAATGGCTGTTGATAATTACAAATCAAGCTTTGATAAACATCTGTTCATGGGCTTTTATGTAAACACAGGTTTTTATTTCACGTGGGTATTCCAACCAGGGGTGGAATTGTTGGTTTATATGGTTGTAGTGCTTTTGAAGGTCTTTTTGATGAAGAGAAGCAGAGTTGAAAACAGTAGTGATCATTTATTTAAAATGAAGGCTTTATCATCATCTGAATCACATTGTACAAGCTGAGTGCTTACCATAAATACTGAGTGTGCTAAACACTTTACATTTCAGCATTCTGCTCACTGGGTGATCTCAGGCAGCAAGTCACATGACCTCTCAGAGACTCAGTTTTCCCACCTGCAAAATGCAAGTAACATTAGGCCAACCCCACAGGATTATTGCAAGGAGTGAATGAATTAATACATATGGAACACTTAGAGCCAGACTGGCACATAGTAGGGCCGTGTCAGTGTCAGCTGTCATTATAATGTTCATTTCCTGGCCCCTCTTAATTTCATCCTCATAGCAACCCTGGGAGTTAAGATCTATTCTTATCTCCATTTTAAAGAGGACACACCTAATGTTCCAAGAGATCAAGCACGTTACGCAAGATCACACAGGCTGTAAATAAGTACATAGTGGGTCCCAGATTTCAGCTGAGGCTGACTGACTCCAGACTCACCTGCTTTGTTCCTACATCAGTCAGGGTTCTCCCAAAGCAACAGAACCAGGATATATGTGTTTGTGAGTGTGTGTGTGTGTGTGTGTGTGTGTGTGTGAATAAAAGGTGTATTTCAAGGCATTGGCTTACATGATTATGGGAGCTAGCTAGGCAACTCTGAAATCTGTAGGGCAAAACAGCAGGCTAGAAACTCTTGGCCAGGAGCTGACACTTCTTCCTCAGGGAATCCTCGGTATTATTTGCTTTTAAAACATTTCCACTGATTGGACAAGACCCATCCCCATTATCCAGGATCATCTACTGTACTTCAGTCAACTGATTATAGACATTAACTTAACCACATCTACAAAATACTTTCACAACAACACTTAGATTTGTGTTTAATTGAACATCTGGGTACCAAAGCCCAGCCAAACCGATGCATAAAATTAAACAGTGAATGTCAAGGACAAAAAAAATCCTAAGGAGAGGTGTTGGGGTTATACTGTGTAGTTTGGGTAGGCAGACAAAAATTCTCGAACATGACCCTGGCTTACCTAGGAAGGGGGAGTTCCCAACCCTAAGTTTGCCTCCAGATACAAAGATACCCAACACCATGTGAGGACCTTTGGAGTTCTTCACATCTGTAACTCTAGATTAAATTTATACCATAAAATACTAGCATGTAACCATGAGGAAGTTCACAAGTGCTAGGTTTTCCTTCGTGATGAGAACTCTTCTGCTATTTATTTATGTAACTTATTTTTTATTTATGAAACTTTTTAAAAATTGAATTATTTTCCCCTTATGATGGTTCAGGGCCCCTGCTGTACTATAGTTATGGATGCCCAGGCCAGACCCATCATCCTCCCAGGTTGGCCAGTGTGTGTACTAATCCAGTCCTTACTGACAGGGTTACCGTTGGTGGGGTCAGTGAGTGGCCAAGGATCGCCAGCATCCCCCAACCGGAAAGCGGGGGGAAAGCCATGGTCTTCTTTCTCAGAAGTCTCAGCTTACACCAAGGCAGCAGTCACCAGAAGCATTTTGTTGTGGTGCTGCCAGGAAGGGGGTGGCTCAGCAGCCCATCATTCACCGAAATGGTTAGTCACCCCTTCGATAGTACTTCCTCTGTGCCAGGTCTGTCCTGCACACCTTACAAATGTCGACTTCATGAGGCAAGTACAACTGCTATCCTTATTGTACAGATGAGGGAACTGAGGCCCCAGATGGTTCGGTAACCAGCCCAAGGTCATGCAGCCAGGAAGTGCTAAAACTGGGAATGAAACCTACTGTCTGGCTCCAGAGCCAGTATCACACCACCCTCACCTCCCAAGCAGCTCTTCCAGGAACCTCCCACCCCAACCACCACCACTGCCTACCCCTTCTTCCCTATGGCTTCCTCAGTTGGTACCCCTTTCTGAGCCTCCTTTCCCCATCAGCCCTGCCTTTGACACAGGCACCCCAGACTCTCAGAGCCAAAGGGGATCATAGACCCTAAGAGGTGTATGACACACCCATGCCCCCCCAAATCATAAATGTAGTGGAGAGAAAAATGAAGCAGGTGCATTAAAAACAGGCAGGAATATTTATGAAGTGTCCACTGCGACTGGATGCCAGATACTGTTCCAGTATCTGGGTTCTGGCAACTGCAGGCTGGGAGGGAGATGGATTTAGCATGAAAACCAAAGAACAAGATAATTTCAGATTTCAGTGATAGGTGTTCTTGAGAAAAAGGTAAAGTGAAAGGCATAAGGAGCCTTTTTCCCCGGAGAGAAGATCACTCCGGGGAGGTGAGCTTTTGTCCCAGGGCCTCACCTTGCTTTATAGGAACCTGTATGGTGAGGACAGGGATAGTTCTGGGGCTCCTTATTGCATTCTCCCCACAGCCAAGAGAAGAGGGCGGGTGGGTATTTTTCTTCCCTTGTTACAGAAGTCGGGGTAGGGGGGAACCTAGGGCAAGACAAGGTTAGCCAGCTTTCTCAGAATCACCCGGAGCGAGAAACCCCATTCTCGGAGCCCCGTGAGACACCGGAGAGCAGTTCTACTGTCACCTGGGGAAGAGCGGGGCAGCCCTAAGGAGAGGGGCCACATCCGGCCCGCCCCTTTCCGAGAGGTGTGCCGTAACCTATTGACCCAGGCTGGGGATGACACACGCGGCCGACCGGGGTCTGCGAAGGCAGTGAAAAAAGGTCGCGATTGGCTCCCCGTCAAGTGGGCGGGGCCCTCGTCGCCCGGTGCGCGCGCCGCGGGGAGGCGTTGCCGAGGGCGGAGCGGGAAGGGGCGTGGCCGCCCGCGGGCAGCCGTTGGCGGCTAAGCCCCGCCCCGGACGTCGCGCGTCGCCGACTGGGAGGCGGCGATTGGTCGGAGCGGCGTGGGGGGCGGGGCAGAAGGTTCTGGAGGGGGCTGGCGGGCTCTGGAAGCTTCCGCCGGACGGGTATATAGAGTCCGGGACGGGGCGGCGGCGAAGCCGGGGTACGGCGACAGCTGGGCGGAGGGCCGCAGGCGGGGGCTATGGGCAAGGACTATTACCAGACGCTGGGCCTGGCCCGCGGCGCGTCGGACGAGGAAATCAAGCGGGCTTACCGCCGCCAGGCGCTACGCTACCACCCGGACAAGAACAAGGAGCCCGGCGCCGAGGAGAAGTTCAAGGAGATCGCCGAGGCCTACGACGTGCTCAGCGACCCGCGCAAGCGTGAGATCTTTGACCGCTACGGGGAAGAAGGTGCGTGCGCGCGCGGCTAGGGGCGCGCCCCCGCCGTTTGACAGGAGGGAAAACCGAGGCCCGGCGGCCGGGCTGTAGCGTCCCCGGGGGACGCCCCGGGCCCGGTGGGCGAGAGGCCTCCGCCCTCCGGCCACGCGGGCCTTCGCCCTCGGATTGGCGGCCGCCGGATGGGAGGAGGAGTCCTGGCAGCGCTGCTCGCCCAGAAGCTTCTAGCATGTCTGCGGTTGCCCCTCCCTAGGCGCCTCCACCCACGTCCCCAAGCGGTCCCAGGGGTGCGGGTGCGACGCAGTGGGGACCGAGGCCGAGCCGGGCCGGTGGCATCGCGGCCCCGGCAGTCCGGAGCTCACCTGGGCCGAGGTGGCAGGCCTAGCGTCCAGGGGCGCAGGGTGGGGCTTGTGGCTGCGCGTAGGGCTTGACCTGCGAGATCGGCGAGCCTGCGGATGAGCACACCGATTAGCGCCGACCTCACTCCGGGGCCCCTGTGAGGGCGGAGTGAGATAATCCCTGTAAAGTGCTTACCTAACCTGCTGCCAGGCACGTAGATGGCAGCCAGCGCCCGAACGCAGTCCAGGTGCAGAGGAACCCGCCTCTGCCCGGCCGAAGCGGCGCAGGCCTCTGAGGCCCAGAGAAGGAAGCTGTCTTGTTGTCCAGTTGGCCGTGGATGACTCAGACTGGTTTCTGGGCTGGGTCTTAAGAAATGAAGTGGCTTTTTATGTAAGGATGGTGGCAATTAGTGTCAGGGTGTGAGAATTTGAAAAGCTGCGTTTATGGTTTTGCTTTCATTTCTGCTCCTCACACATTGCTAGCTCTTGAGTATTTCTGAGAGTAAACACTTACTGAGCACTGATCCTGGAGCATGCCTTTTTCAGCTGATCTCTTAATGAATTTTTTGTAAATCTTCATATATTTGTAGGGAGAATAGGTTAGTCAAGAAGTGGTGGGAATTCCGTGTCCTCTAGAGAGGCGCTTGAGCCCCTTACCCCTGTCCTAGCACGCTGAAGCACCTGGAGGGGGGAGTCTCTGGCTTAGGGTTCTTGACTCTTCCTGACCGGAAGAGTAAAGAACCTCCCACCCCCCACCCTTAATGGTTCTCGAGCTTTTTTCCTTAGTGAAAGCACCTAGAGAGAAAGGGTGGGGGAGGCAGGGGGAGAGAAGCTCACCACCAACCATCTAATTTCTTCTGATTTTGCTTTTCAGGTCTAAAGGGTGGTGGCCCCAGTGGTGGGAGCAGTGGTGGTGCTAATGGTACCTCTTTCAGCTACACATTCCATGGAGATCCTCATGCCATGTTTGCAGAGTTCTTCGGTGGCCGAAATCCCTTTGACACCTTTTTTGGGCAGCGGAACGGGGAGGAAGGCATGGACATTGATGACCCGTTCTCTGGCTTCCCCATGGGCATGGGTGGTTTCACCAACATGAACTTTGGCCGTTCCCGTCCTGCCCAAGAGCCCTCCCGAAAGAAGCAAGATCCCCCCGTCACCCACGACCTTAGGGTCTCGCTTGAAGAGATCTATAGCGGCTGTACCAAGAAGATGAAAATCTCCCATAAGCGGCTGAACCCCGATGGAAAGAGCATTCGCAACGAAGACAAGATCTTGACCATCGAAGTGAAGCGGGGGTGGAAAGAAGGGACCAAAATCACCTTCCCCAAGGAAGGCGACCAGACCTCCAACAACATTCCAGCTGACATTGTCTTTGTTTTAAAGGACAAGCCACACAATATCTTTAAGAGAGATGGCTCTGATGTCATTTACCCAGCCAAGATCAGCCTTCGGGAGGTAGGATACTAATAAGTATGATAGTATGTATGGAGGGAGATTGTTGGATTTTGAAGTCGTTGGATATTTGCTTGACAGATATGTCTGAGCACTTTGGAGCCAGGCTTGGGGGTTACAGCAAAAACGAGACTGACCAGGGCTCTGTTGTTCCAGAGTTTTCCATATCTGGGGGCAAGGTCTTAGCTACAGGGGCCTGGTGGTGCTTCCCCTACATTAAACAGCTTCTGGACAGGAGTTGAGCATCCTAAATACCTTCCATCTAACGTTCTGTCTTTGCTCTCTAAGGCTCTGTGTGGCTGCACAGTGAACGTACCCACTCTGGACGGCAGGACCATACCCGTTGTGTTCAAAGATGTCATCAGGCCTGGCATGCGGCGAAAAGTTCCTGGAGAAGGCCTCCCCCTCCCCAAAACGCCCGAGAAACGCGGGGACCTCATTATTGAGTTTGAAGTAATCTTCCCTGAAAGGATTCCCCAGACGTCAAGAACCGTACTTGAGCAGATTCTTCCAATATAGTCTCCTGTGTTTCCCAAGGACTGACCAGGGACCTTTCCAGAGCTCAAGGATTTCCGGACCGTTCCACCAGTTGTGGACCTGTGAGAGGGCGGGAGGGCCCAGGGAGGGCTTTCGTACTGCTGAATGTTTTCCAGAGAATATATTACAATCTTTCAAAGTCGTGCACTAGACTTAAGTGGTTTTTCGAGCGATAGGGCAGCAGGTGGTGGGGACAGCAGGAAAAGGCATTCCAGTCTGTCCCACTGGTTCCTGCAGCCCTCCTGGGATGGGCCCGCACCCTCCTCCAGGCCCCGCCCACGGTCAAGAGGCAGACCCACAGCTGGACTTGATGTGTCTATAGTCCCTTGACTTGTGGCCATTAGGTGGTGCCAACCTGCCATCTTGGTTACCAGACCCTGTACACTTCTCAGTTTCTGTTGTGTGATCAGTTTGTGTTTTATTCTGTATTTTTCTCCCCCGTCTTGCTCTTCCCCTGAAGAATCCTGTTTTCTCTTTTGCCATCTCAAATTGAGAACCAACTTCGATTACTTTTGCAAAACTGCCTGGCTGGCACCCACAAGCAATACCTCTTGTTCCAGCAGGACCAAGGGAGCCAGCCTCATGTGAATGAGTTGCACAGATGCTTTTCCCTAGAGGGTCAGGGGCCCTGGACAGAGTAGGGGACCTTCTCGACCCCGGACTCTGAAGCCACGTGCACTCACTTATGGGTCACACTCTTTTTTTAAAATTTTTTTTGTTTTATCTATAAGGCAATCTTTTGGCACACCTGGGGCTTACAAGTGCCCAGGTAATTTTTCATTAATGGACTCTGGACTCTTTCAAAAGGATCTGATCCTTTTGAATTTTGCACAGCTCTAGATATAATCCCTTTTGATAAAAGGGTCTTTGCTTCTGATTACAGGAGCACTGTGGAACGTCTGTAAATATGTTTTTATAATTCTGTGTAATGTTGGTGTGCCCTCAAAGGAAACCAGCCCACGGCAGCTGCTGCTCTCTGTACAGGGCCACGATGGAATTCAAAAGGAACCTTGGGAGTCGGGGAGGGGGCTGGGTTGGAACAAGTGTCTGTTCCTTGCAGGCCAGTTTGGTGCTCAGACCTTTAGACTCATTGTAAGTTGCCACTGCCAACATGAGACCAAAGCGTGTGACTTGTCAATGTGCAGCACGACAGCATTAAAGACTGATGCTAAACCTCAGGGGAGCAGTCCTGCGACTCTGTTTGAGGGTTTTGCTGATGGGCTGGGGCGGCGGCTGGGTGTCCCTCGAGATGCAGTCAGGGTGGAAGGGAAGGGCCAGGGAAGGCTGGGGGTGGGCACAGGCAGGAGAACTCTGCAAGGGAGAGATAAGTCTCCCTTCCTGGGCTGCATGCAGAGTAGAGAATGTCAGCCCACCTGGACCTGACCCAGGCACCCAAAGAGCCCCGTGGATTTAAGAGCTGGTTTTAGGAAGGGTGGGCTGGAGTTAAGGAATTCCCTTTCCTGTCCTGCAGGGCCCAGTTTCTGGAACCCAGAGGAGGTGCATGGTCTGCCCTTACGATCCCCCTCTACTCCTTTCTTGCTAGAACAGGTTGGGTGTCTGGCAGGCTCTGGCCAAACCAGACTGGAATTCCAGCCCAGGGCTGACCCCACCCTGGAGAAGACCCATTTCCTGCCCGGGATCCTTTGGCAGGCCACTGAGGCTGCTTTTCCTTTGTTACTTTTTTTAAGGAACTGGTTTTATTACAAGGTAAGTAATTACATAGGCTTAAAACAACGTATTGCTACTTTGCTACAAAATGTCTTGAAGTAAAAACTTAAATGCCAGTGTGTTTAAAATCAACCCAGGGGTGGCTTTCCCTTCCCACTGAAACAGTTTAGCCACTGAAAATGGTGTAGGAGCTGTGTGGTCAAAGAGAAGTTTCTGTAAGTGATAAGAGTGTTTTCTGTCATCTTTAAATGGAAGTGCTTTAAGATTCAGTAAACTAAATTCAGTTTCTCAGTTGTTCACATTCCAAGTGCTCAACAGCAGTCACACACCACTAGTAGCAGCTGTTGGATAGCACAAATCCAGAGGGCTTTTCCCTAGGTGTAGGATGTAGGTTTCTCCCTAGAAGAGCATATGCAGTGAGCCCAGAGGATGCCATCCTAGTTGGGAGGTGACCCCGCATATCAGAGCCAAAAGAGGTACGCTGACCTGCCTCAGGCACCAAGATGACATTTACTACAGAATTGGCCCTGGCCTCAGTTGGGGTCAATTGGTCAGTGCCACCCCTGTGCCCCAGTCTTCTTATGTAGCAGGTCCCTGTGACCTTCGTATCAAAGTCACCAACTCAGAAGTGAACAAAGCCTGTAAAGCGCACAGTTCTGGGAACTAGAAATTACCGACCTAGAGTGGTGTGTGGGGCAGTGGGTTTCTTTAGGCAAATGTTCATAGTGGAAAGGACAAAGAGGACTTGGGTGGGCAGAAAGACGGCCCCTCAGACACGTGTTATTTTGCCATACTGGACCGAGTGTGTGTGCAGCGGTGTTTGGGGTATGTGCTGGCAGACTGCTTTGCGTCCTTGGCTTCAATTTAACGGATTTGCTTTACTTTCCCACGTGGACTCTCAGCACATTTCAGAGCCCCTCCCGTGTTGGTAAGTGTGGAGCTGCCTCTCTAACCCACCTCACCCGAATCCACCACATGAGCGAGGGGCACATTTTAACATGATTTAAACAGTACAAAACTCAAAATGTACATTTGGCCTGTGAAGAGCAGTTGAGTCCCCTCCCTCCTCTGGGCCTGCAGTTCCCTTTTCTGCCATAGCACTATGGACAAGGCATGGCATCAGATTTTTTCCCTTAGAAAAAGAAGAAAACAGACTTTGGTGCAGGAGTCTCTCTATATAAGGATAAGCATAATTTCTAAATTTCCAGGGTTTTGGGCTGTGTAATCACAGTACTAAACTCTGGAGGGGACAGAATGAAAATCATCTCCCCCACCCTGCAATTCAAGTCTGTCCCCAACAAATGTCCCATCTCTCAGGTACCTTTCCTGAGATGCTGCACAAATCAGCTTTTCTATTTTTACACAAATGGGATGAACTGTATGCTGCAATTTCCCCCGTCACATACGGGGGAAATAAAGAGCTTCCTCATTCCTGTTACTGTTCACCTTATTGTGCCAGGACTACTTACCTGGGAGTGAAGATCCAGATCAGTGTTCGGTGGCCCCTACCTCTCCCTTAGTCATTGTTCTTGCTTCCAGATTTGAATCCCATGGCAATCGCTTTCTAGCTGTATGACCTTGGGCAAGTGACTTAGCCTCTCTGTGCTTCAGATTCTTCGGCTATAAAACAGGTATAATAATAGTGCCTCTTCTAGAGTTGTAAGGTTTCCAGAGATGGAGATACACACACAAACACCAGGGCCCAGCACAGAATAAGCGCTGTGTGCCAGTCACCATGTGAAGACTTCTTTGTCCATAGCTGGCAGCCCTAAAGGCTGAGGTGAGTCCAAGGCTTTTGGGGGTGCTCTCAGCTGAACTCCAGGAACCCAACTGCCAGATGATCTCCTGAGACACTCATTCTAATCCTGGCCCCGAACCAGCCTAAGGAAGCTTTACCTGAAGCAGGATCACTTCCATGCTGTTGTGACAACCAGTTGACTGGAAAGACACAGCAGAGCACCAGGCTCCAGACCTGAGCAGCTCCCAGTTTGAATCCCGACTCTGTCATGTTGCTGACATGTGTCCTTGGGCGGGTGACTTCACCACTCTGTGTCTCAGTGGCCTCCTTTAAAAAACGAGACAAATGAGGTGCAGATTTCATGGTGGTCTAAGTGAAGGTAATGCATCCAGGAAGCAAGGAACAAGACGTCATGATCTTGGCTTCTGTGCACCCTCAGGGGGTGCTGAGTTCAAATTTGCTCACTGCATTCCCCCAAGCAAATGACAAAACTTCTCAGGGCCTCAGGTCCCTCCTGTGTAAAACAGGACAATCACCACAACTTAGCCTTCTCACTGCCCCCAAGTTAGAGCTAACCCCTGAGAAGGCCTCTGTGCTACAGGCCTGGCCCAGAACAAGTGTGCAATCAACATGAGTAAATATTTCTGTTTCTAAAGCACTTAGCAGAAATCCTGTCTCAAGTCATCTTTTGAATTTTTTTAAAAAGATTTTATTTACTTGGGGCACCTGGAGTGGCTCAGGTCATGATCCCAGAGTCATGGAGTTGAGCCTCCCATTAGGCTCCCTGCTCAGTGGGAAGCCTGCTTCTCCCTCTCCCACTACCCCTGCTTGTGTTCCCTCTCTCACTGTCTCTTTCTCTCTTTCAAATAAATAAAAATCTTTTTTTTTTAATTTTATTTATTTGAGAGAGAGAGAGCACAAGCAGGGGTAGTGGCAGGCAGAGGGACAGGGAGAAGCAGACTCCGCGCTGAGCAGGGAACCCAATATGGGGCTCAATCCCAGGACCCGGGATCATGACCTGAGCAGAAGGCAGACACTTAACCAACTGATCCACCCAGGCACCCTCAATTTTTTTTAACTAAGCTCTACGCCCAACATGGAGCTTGAACTCCCAATCCAGACATCGAGGGTCACACACTCTCCTGACTGTCAGGCACCCCATGTCCCAGGTCTCTTTTAATATTATTCTTAGTAATTAATTATTGAAGTACACAACATAGCACCTGACACATAAGTATTTTTCCATTGAGTCAACATTGATTAACTCCCTACTATGTGCCCTTCCCTGTGCTTGATGCTGGGGACACAGTGAACAAAAGTGTCAAAAATTCCTGCTCTTCTAGAGCTAAGGATTGACTCAGGGGAGAAAGAAAATAAAGATAAATAAATAAAACATCTAATGTACTAGAGAGTGGGGAGAGTGATGCAGAAATATAAAAAATTGGGGGGTAGAGAGTTTGGGGTACTTTTTAAATAGCATGGTCAGGGAATGCCTCCCCAAGAAGATGACATATGAGTGAAGATTTGAAGGAAGTAACTTCTTCAGGTGGATACTGAGGGAGGGTGTTCCAGGCAGAGGGAGCAGCCTGTGCAAAGGCCCTGAGGTAAGACTGTGCCTGAGTTGTTCGAGGACCAGCTAGCAGCCAGCAAGGCTGGAACAGAGTGAGCAAGGCATGAGTGGGAGGAAGTGAGGGCAGCGGGAGACAAAGCAGACGGTGCAGGATTTGGTGGACCCCTGGGAGAACT